GCTTACTAATATTTGGGCAACGTAAATATACATTTTCAGATAAAATATTATTTACAGTATAAAGTTTGGATAGAAAAACTGTTTTCAATGCAATCTAAAATTGTTTTAGAAAAATATTTTTATTTTTAATTGCAGTTTAGATTTCCAGTTTTAATTTTTTTTTTCAAGATTAATTTTATGTGTGTTATTTATTACTTCGCTTTTATTTCAAGTTGGTATATTGGACTCTTTCCAATATTAACTGAGGATGTTTTTTTTTCTGTTATGGTACTAACTTGTTTATAATCACTATAGTTAATTTACGTTTCTAAAAACTGTAATATAAGTGACTAAATCTAAATCTGAAAGCTGTTAAGTAAAATATTATTTTAAATTAATACAATTGAAGCTTATAAACATTATACCATGTTAAAGCTATTTTATAATTATAATAAATTATTTATTTTTGAAAAAAAAAAATACAATTACCAATTAAAACGAAACATATTTTTCTATTAATTACCCTACCATTAAAATAACTGTATTTATAATAAATTGAACAGTTGTGTACTAGGTAGTGTATGTGTAAGGAAAAAAAATTAATAACAAGACTGAAGACAGTGCATATCATTTGAAATTTGAAATTTCAATTTAAAATAAATGATTAAATTACTAAGAAGGGAATATTTAGGTTTTAGGTTTTTTTTATCGTTACTAAGTTATCAACGTATCTGTTTTTAAATACCTATATATTTTTAAGTTATTGTTTCAGATCAAAATAATATGATTATTTTTAAAATATTCAAATTTAAAAGCATCATTTAAAAGCAATTAAATGCTCATTTAATATTCATTATTCATTATGATTGGTATTTTAAGTATGAATATAAAATCAACTGTYCATTTGACTAAAAACGAATGGTGATCRAATAAAGTAAAAGTTATTTAAAAATAAATTATTCCATTAAAGAATAATTTATTGAAAATATTTTTATTCGGTATTTGAATGTACYTATACGACTATATACCTATAATTATATTTGGCTACTTATGTTTGTAATCATTTTTCTTATGAATAATGGTTAGTTTAATGCTATCGTAGTGTTATATATTATAATATTGTGCTATATTTATGATACGTTATTAATATTGTTTTATAAAMATATGCAAACATATGCATTACAAAAACTTAAAAATATGTTTTTACCTATGACGTACACTTCTAAGAGAATATCAGTGTAATATTTGATTTTACCTCTAGTCCTCRCTACAAATATAAAACGCGGAATAATTTTTTTTTTATGTTTATGAGTTACCATTTTAGAGTAAAATTATTAATATTAACAAAAAATACAGTGAATATTATTTTTGATCGTATAATATATTGGTTTGTCTCGATATCTATAAATACTCTCTCAAAAGTATTTAATATTCATAAAAATTACCATATTATATTAAATAATATACTCCTATTATTAAATTATTATTTTTTCGTTAAGTCTAATATAATAAAGTGAAATAATTATAAATATAAAACTAATATCAAACCCCAAAAATATTAACTTATAAATCTGATGTAATTGCTGATTTTACTATTAGATTACTTATATATCATATAAAAAATATKTTACAAGAATGCATTTTACCTATGTTGCTCATAAGCTGAGAGAGAAAACAAGTATTTCGCTGACATCCTATTAAATACATTAGAATATATTATATGAATGTATAATTTAACGATAGTACTGTTTAATATAATACCATTTGATTAACTTAACATAAAAATATATTTAAATAAAAATTTTTAACTTTACTAAAAATTAAAATACTATATAAAAGCTAATATCTRATTTTTAATAGAATAATAATCTTTATTGAAACAATAGAATTATATATACAATGATWACAAAAAATATATGATTTAAATATTTCAGTACCCYCTATAAGCAAAGCTTGTGCTGGGGGCACAGTTCTTATTATTTAAATTAAAGACATAATGGATAAATGTTGAACAGTAATTACCTTAAAAACAAAATAAACGAATTTAAATAAGCGTAAAATATAATAACGATATTATAGAATACTAAAAAACAAAAATAATAATAATTTAATTATTAAATTATAAAATAGTTAAATCTATATGTTTTACATAATTTTTAAATAATAATACATTTTTAAAATCGTTTATATTAATATTTAGTGAACAACATAGTTTCAATCCCGTATATAACACGCTATGTTGACCAAAAACTTTGCTAAGGTCTGGTAAAAGTATATTAATATTTTGTTTATGCCTTGTATTATGCTCGTGATTTAGCAATGTTATTAAATTTTTATGTTTATATAAATCAACAAGCACCGATAATTTATAAATACATTCTAAATGTTTTACATTAATTTCTTTATAAATTGAAGAGGTACTAGTTGTCATGGGAAGATTTAGTAAAAATTTGATAATACAGTTAATAGTAACTATAAGTYTAGATAAAACATTATTTGCGGCTCCACCCCAAATAGAAATACCATAAGAATAAATTGATTGAACTAACGCTAGAAAAATCATTCTTTTATAATAATTATTAAATATATATCTAGCTTCTTTAAAGAAGTAAAAGAATTTACGTAAACTATTATTAATATAATTAATATGACTTTCCCACTTAAATCTATAGTCAACAATTATCCCAAGATATTTTATTTCATTAACTTTTTCAAGTACAATTCATTTAGAATTACAAGTTGAACTAAGATTATAATTATATTTTAACGAATGAACAATCAGGTTATTTCTTAACAAGCTATTTGAAGCTAATTTTAGATAATATGTGATTATAAAAGCACTTAAATAATATTCTACCAGTATAGTTTTAATTTTTCTAATTAATTGAGATTTGAAATTCCTAATTACAATTAAAATATAAAATATGGATATTATGGTTATGATTAACTTGTTTATTTAGATTATTTTACTAACCTAATTTTATGTACACGGTGTAATTATATGACATGGCACTATGGARTTTTGAAAGGATACAAATATGCTAGTTTTTGATTATTTTAGATTTTTAGTTAGACACATGAAATTTATGCAACAAAATATATAAGTTTAATGCAATCTCTTGAATACGSTTGAATATTATAGCATATTAAGGTTCGTAATGATTTGCACTAGACAGTAATTTGGTTTTGCTTTTAACGTTACTGAGTTGCGTCTCGTAGCYTTTATAGTGATAAATACCTATTTTGTTCAAATTTTTCAAAGTAAATATTTTATAAATGCAAAATGTATTGCGCAACAAATAAAGTTTAACTACAAAGTGGAATCTAAATAAAATGACATTACCTATCTGAGTTGATTTTTTTATAGTGGGGAATAACTATCAATATTATTATGAATAAATCTATAATATCCAATCGACCACAAATCAATGATAATGAATAACTTATAACTTACTTATAACTATTATTGTATACTAAACATTATATTTAAAACTATAAAATGTATTATGTAATGAAATAATCACTAATTATATCAAAATGTTTTATCATGTTTCTATAAAAATATGTTTTTAGCAATCAACACATATACTTGGAATCAAACAAGCCATACAAAAAGTTTTCCTGATGACATCCTAGCTGTATCATATGAAGATGGCAAGTGGAGCAAACCATATTATGACTGTGGAGGCGGAAATATATGGATGCTCACATATACTGTACCATTTTTTGCTTTCAAAGATGCCAAGTATTTTTTCAAGTAAATAAATAATTTATAATTATATTATAAAAATAAATAAATACCTGCAATTTTACCTTTAATGATACCATCAAAACGATACATTTTATAATAATAAGGCTTAAATAGAAATATAAAGTAATACATTTATGTGTTAAAACTCACTTTTTTGACGAGTTGACGAATTGATGAGTTATCTTTTTTTTTTTAAATATTATTTTAACATAACTTGATGTTATTGCAAACCACTATTTTGGCAAAGAAAATTATAAATTATTTTATAAGGTAGAATTTTTAAAATTATTACTTTTAAGAACCACTACATTCATTTTGATTTTAGATTCCAATGCAGAATATTATTCGGAATACTTTAAAAAGTCAATTTTTCAAGTAATTAATATTATTAACAACTTATTAGTTATAAGTATTTAACATTTTAATGAGTTGAGTAGTAGATCAATCAACGTTTTTAGAGCTAACCCTGTGCCACCCTACTTATCTACCCATCTTAGGTATAATCTACTAAGAAATATTAACTACGCTTTCAAATATTACATCAATTTGTTTGTATCAAAATACTCTGAAGAATATTCGGCTTTTAAATATGAAATAAAAAAATTATGTTGCCGTAAAATTAAAGGAAGAACCTTAAAATATTATAAAGATAAAAATTGTAAAAATTGAATTTTGTAAAAAAAAATAAATTCAACAAAGTTAAAACTTTTCAAAACGTTATAGGTATAAATGCATCACTTTTTATATTTACCATGATTTTTTGCCAAACTTGGCTCTTAATAACAATTTTTTCATAATCTGGAAATGCATTTTCTTAAATGAATATGTTTTAAGAATATGTTTCATTTTTKTCCTAACCTAACCTAAAAAAGTTTTATTAATCATTTTCCAGACAAACAATCCGATTAGGGATTAACTTTCCAGAAGGGTCCACTTTAGCTTTCTCTCGTATTTAAGCTAGTATAGGTATGTTCTCTAAGGATGGAAATTTCGGTTGGTTTTCCGTGACATATTCTGAAGGCCGTTTTACCCTTTTTGATGATCACTATATGCTATTGATGAAAGCCACAAACGCCTTGTTTGAACAATATGATATTAAATTATAGTCCCATTTCAATGTGACACGATTGGTATTTAATATAATTGCTTTTTAATTAATGAATTAGTGTTAGTAGAGTATTCAACTGATTTCTCGTCTAGGTTCAAAACTATTAATTTCTACTTGACAAAGTATTTTTCATTCAAAAACGTACTCCTGTGGGAGTTTTTGCCAGACTATACAATATTTTTTCTCCAGAATAGTATCTGAGTTTCAGCATAATGAATATTTTCTTTACTATAATTATTGCATTAAAATATGCATTGCAGTACCTGATCATTACACTACATTATACAATTCTTAATTTAAAAAAAGGAAAAATAGAATAAGCAATATAAATTTAAGTGTCTAACTATTTAAAATATTACATTTTTAATCGGTATCGTAAATAATTGTATTATTGTTGACTTTTTAGTGTTCATAAAATAATATTATGTTTACCTGTTTATTCAAAAGATATATAATTTTTTTGTTGCACTGTCTCTGTATTTTAAACTTTTAAAGACAATAAAATTGATTTTTTTAGGATTACACCATAGTAATAATTCATATCTGACAATGAACTTTTACTGTATGTTTCTTGCATGATAATGGTTTTTAATATATTTACTAAATTTTTTGATTTTTTGATTTTTTGATTTTTTGATTCTTTTATGATTTTGAGTAAATTTAATATAAAAATGTATTCGCTTTGTTTGACTTCCATGAAATTTTTCAATAATATAGTAAGTGTCTACTAATACACAATCTATAATAGAGTTGAGTAAATAAGTTGAATATACATTTAACATAAAAATAAACGTACTTATACATATTAGGCTACAATCTAAATAATGRAACCTTAACACCTATAATAATATATTATTTATATTCAACAAATACACACCTATATATMATTTTTAAACTATATTACTAAAATTCTAAACTTTTTTTTAAATATAATTATCAGTACTATGCATAATTATCATAACCGTGTACGTTAAGACCGTCTTAGTTTAAAAATTTACTCATTAGTAATGATTATCTAACAATCCAATATTTGTATTACTTATTTATTTATTACTTGCAAGACAACGTGTTATACAGCGTAAATTACAGGTAAAATATGAACTTAAACATTAATGAAATATTATTGTAACGAAGAAAAAGATGAAATTACGACCCTCTATCTACTGTTCAGTTTAGTTGATTCACAAATGTTGGATTTATTTTTTGTATTTAACTATTTTACAGAAAACAAATATATACCCATACATACTAATATTGAATTTTGAACTTAAGTACCTATAAAGTTCATCATAATATTTTATTATAATTATTTACCTAACACTTATCTAATAGTCTGTAATTTTTATACTATACACTATAATTCTAAGCTTGCCACAGCAATATTTTGTTTATAATGTGAGTAGTTTTGATTTGATGTATGATTATGTGTGCATATAATTTACGCTTATGGATTGGTGAGGCGTGGTCGTCATACGCTCAATCTGTGGAAACGCACTGAGCGTATGTACCAACCATATTTGCTAGTTTCTAGATAAGTGACCACCCAGGATTTTTAACACATACACTATACACMAGCGCGCGTTACGACCTCACCAGCTTAAAAACCTACAAACAAAATATACAAAAATAACTTCTACCACTTCACACAAAATAGCCAATGTTGCCACAGGTTTCCCTAAAAAAAAAAAAATTACACTTCTGTAACTTCTGTAAATAAAATATAGTTTTCAGTGGAGTTAAGAAGGTATATCTTTGGCGTTGACACCTGTATATTTCTATTTATGAGTATAGTGTGACGAATAATAAAGACACATTTAAAATTCAATTGAAATGATAAATATTATTTTAACGATAGATTAAAAACTATAATAATTTTGTTTCGAAAAATGGAAATCTGATATTTTATGTATATAAAATACATATAGGTCTATACAAGTTTATGGTTTTCAATAAACTATTAAAATAAATTATGGATTAAGGTATAAAATGTACTTCGCTTTTTTTCTTTTGGGTGAAATGTCTWKAAGTAATATTATATAATGTTATAATTTGTAACACACAAATTTGTATAAAATAGAAGTCATAAAAATGTTATATGTTTTTTTGGTTAATAATTATATTATTATACTTTTATCGTGTTAAATTGTTTATAATTGTATGGCTATATTATATGTAGTCATTTAACAATAGTCAATAGCACGGCTCTTAAAAAGTGACAGAAACATAAGGGTKAGGTGCTAATCTATGTGTAGTATTTTGTTATTCTACTGAACGCCTGTATCTGTTGTAAATATTACACCACTATGTTTATTTATACAAGGATGCTGCTTATCAAAACTATGGTTCAATGATCCATTATGTGTGTGTGTGTGTGTGTGTGTGAGTGTGTGTGTGTGTGTGTGAGTGGCGTTGAGAATGAGTGAGTTTGCGTGACACCGGTCGCTTTTCTTGTCACGAAACGGCCGTGAGGCTATTAATAATAATTATTATTCTCAGCCAACCACCGTTAAAGTGTTCGCCGGGTGCCCTTAACGTATTTCACCTACAGCATAGAACACGAATCAGCCACACTCGAACGGCTACGACCCACTGAAAAACGGACGCGCTTGATATCACAATTATATCATACATAATATGTAGTACGAGTACGCATTAAAATTATAATATTATATTGCCAATTTGCATGTGGTAAAAAACTTACTTATCTATGAATTTCGGCCAAAAATAAAATTTACAAAATACTATGCCTGAAAATTTCAAAAAGACACCCTCGTATTGACTTAAAAAATATCCAGAAGTCATTTTACTAAAAAAAACCTTAAACTTCCTAGATCGGGGAGACACTTTTTATCCTCCACTGTACTCTGCTAACAACTTGTAAACTTCCCTATTTTTACCCAGCTATCGTTCCGTATCGCGCAGGTCATTATTTTCCTAAAAAAAATACTGTGTAGAATATTAGTTTCATTTTTTTTTTTTTTTTTGTTTAGTGGTGGAAAAAATAATCTTGACACCCAAAAGTTTGCATATATAACCGTATCGTTTGATTGTTATGAAATAAATTATCTCTTATTAACCCTGAAAGATTCTGAAATCAGATACATTTGAGTCTTCTTACTGTGCTCGTATTTTTTCTATGGCTTGACCTTGATATTATATTCCAGCCCAGTTCTTGATTAAATAAACAAATGATTTGGAAATGACCACATACAATAATAATATAACAAAGCTTTATTTGCTGATGCTAAAAACAATGCACAAACTTATAAATTAGTAGTTTTTTTTTTTTTTTAATTTCATAATATGATAAAACTCGGGCGTTGTTCATAGTTTCTGAATGATTTGAGAATAATTGAATTATGCAGTGCAAATTGTGTAAAGAGAACTGTACAAGCTCGATGGACTTTTCTAACTTTCTAACTTTGGTTGGCTTTCAAATTAACACAAACATACTGTTTTGTGGTTTCCTTTGACTGATTAGCTAATCTTCAATAATGTTAGACGGTAATCCTGCAAAGTTTTTTATGTTTATACTTGTTGAAAATTGTATTTATACAATGCCTCTTTTTGCTTTTAATAATTTATTTGTATTTTATAATTTTGAGTATAACATAATAACAAGGTAATTTATTCAATTAAATCACAATTCGTTACAACATTTGGAAAAAGTACAATCTGCCAGAAAATCAATGTATTGTAAATTAACACAATATTAATGTATAATATTTTGAATTTTTCAATTATGATTAGCTCAAATAATTAAAGTTTCAATCAATAATCCATTTACACACATTATATTTTTGTTTACTATTATATCGATGTGTATTATATACTTTCTTAGGTTACATAACCCAACGTTACAGAAAGTTTATAAAAAGAAAAATGTATAGYTAAGTAA